CAGCTACCCCTGGAGATCTGGACCATACCCACTCTCGTGGCCTTCAGGAAGGCTGTAAAAACTTGGCTGTTCCAGCAGGCCTGGGGCTGTTGATCTCACTGTTGAGGTCCAGCCCCGATTAGAATGAGGTGTTGTTGTTTTTAAACTGTTTCTTTTGTTATGTGTTTTGTTATGTGTTTTTTTCTCTTTATTTTTGTAAGCCGCCCGGAGTCCTTCAGGATTGGGCGGCATACAAATGTGTCTAATAAATAAATAAATAAATAAATAAAAAAGAAAGAAATTGCAAAATACCAATCTTATGTTATTTGCAAGTTTTATTTTGCTAGTATTCAAGAATGGGTGAAATTATATGCATCAAGTGTTCCTGATTTCAGCACTTTTATTTGACAGCTGAATAGGTCGTACACTCAAGAAACCAAGAACAGCAACAAAAAAAATCACAATTATGGGATGGGAATAGAAGAATGTTTATTTCACAAAGTTACATAAAAATATTTTCACATCTTGTTTGACCTTCATCAGCTCTCTTCTGTAGTAACAGAAATAATTTTCCCCCAAGTAACATTTTTGCTATCCCATTATTAAACTAGAAAGAATAGCTTATTATAAACACTGTAACCCTATTAAAATCTCTTATACTTCCAATATTTCATCACAATGTAATTGCTAGCTTAATTACCTCAGTCAGTTCAGCATAAGCAGCTTTACATGGAATTGAATAGATCCTGAAAAATAAGACAAATGTTCATTGATCCCGAAAGACAATTTCTATTTCAATCTGGTTCTAGAATAGATATAGCAGGCATGGCTTGGAACTCGGGCTGAATTCATCTAGAGGTTTTCTAGTTGTAAAAGCCGGAATGATAAGCAAAGATTAAACCAGAGAAGATCAAGCTTATTTCAACTATCAACTGAAGTCAATCTGGATCTATACAGCAATGTACTGTCCACCGATGGGATTCACTTACCTTCCCTACCAGTTCGCAAATGGGAATGTGCGCGTTTTACTCGTGCACAGTGCGCATGCACAGTGCTCACGCGTTACATCGGGGTGGGTGGGCAGAGCCTCATGCAGCGGCCGCTACCGATTTGCCCGAACCAGAGAGAACCGGCTGAATACAAACTCTGCCCCCCCAGTTAAGACACGTGACCCAACAAAAGGGCGAACGACAAAACCGCGCCGACAACAGCGCGGAGACAGAAGGGCGATTTCAGTCGACAGAGGGGCGATTTAAGTTAAGGTAAGTGTTAGGTTTAGGGTTAGATTTAGGGTTAGGTTTAGGGTTAGGTTTAGGGTTAGGTTTAGGGTTAGGTTTAGGGTTAGCGTTAGCGTTACATTTAGGGTTAGGTTTAGGTTTAGGGTTAGGGTTAGGGTTAGGTTTAGCGTTACGTTTAGGGTTAGGTTTAGCGTTACGTTTAGGGTTAGGTTTAGGGTTAGGGTTACATTTAGGGTTAGGTTTAGGTTTAGGTTTAGTTTTACAGCCTTCTGTCGCCGCGCTGTTGTCAGCGCGATTCAGCGCTCATTCGTCAGAGCACTTTAGAACACGCGGTTTTGTCACCGCGGTTTAGTCGGGCGCGGTTTTGTCATTCGCCCTTTTGTCGGTGAACCGTTAAGGCCTACTTCATCTTTAACCTTCAAAAATGCAACAAATCTATACTCATCACAAAGTAACACTGGATGTAGAGTTTTTGAAACTATATTAATCACAGTATTTACTAGGACAATAAGGTGCTTCAAAGCAGCCTGCAACTAGGTGGTTTTACAAGTGAAGTTGAGAACATTTATCTTTTGCCCTATTGCACTGAATATGGCCTAAATACATTCAAAAATTCCTAAACAACTCATAGGAACAGTGCTGGCAGGTATGATTCAAGCATACAAATGAAGAAAGGCATTACTAACAAACAAAACACCGTATTATCCATGAAGTTTTCTCATGGCCCAAGAAGCAAATCTATGTGAAGTGTTGCTTAGCAAAATATTTAACTTAGCAAGATACAACACGAGAAAGAGTGATTCATCCTGGGCTAGCAAACCTGTTTGGAGATTTTTTAGGGAAGGTCAGCATTATCTTATGTCAACATGTCGTGGAAAATAAAGCAAGCCCACATCTAATTCCATGCTTCATCAGCAATTCACACTTCATTAAGACAGGTACTTCCCTTTCCGCACTGCTTAAGGTAATATCAGAGCTCCAAATTAAGTAAGATAGCTTGCCAATAAGGTTGTTTTCTGCACTGATGTGGCAGGGGGGGCAATGAAACTGGCATGGAAAATGGACAAATCTACCTGGCAATCAACTTCTGACATTACTGCATCTCATACCACCTGATAACATCAGCATAGATATGAATATATCAAAATTCGATATCCACACATTTTTTTAAAAGGAACATGTATCCTGATCCTGCATAAATAAGCCAGCCCTCACCTTTTCAAAAAATTGTGTTTTCAAGATTTTTTTTAAAAAAAGTTCAAGAGGATATTAATGGCATTAAAGCATAATTCGTATTGTATCTACGGCCTTAAATATTATAGAACTACAGAAATCGTTTGTTTCAAGAACATCAATTACACTATTCTGTATAAAAATACAGGCTGTATTTAACATCTTGCATTACTTAACCTTACTATCTCAAATAGTCAATCTAAAATAAAAATTATTTCCAATAATAATAATCATCATCATCTATATAAAAATGGCTGTGTGTATGTTCCAGCATAACTCTGGAACGCCTCAAGTAATTTCAACCTAACTTGGTACACAGATGACTTACTCTCTGGAAACAAGTTTTGTGGGGGTAAGACACCCTTAAAACCCCTAAGGGTGCATATTCTGTTAAGCTACAGCCTGTTGTGCCTTAAAATGACTTCTACTGTACTTCCGTAATATGGCTTCTATTCTACAGCACAGTGGAATTGCCATGGTAATGGCTTCACAATACTCCACAAGGAGGCTCCTTCTGGTAAGGGGGAAAATCCAACATTAGAAGTTATGTTTGGTCCAGACATTTTCCCCCTATAAATAAATACCTGGGCAACACTGGGTTATCAATTAGTTTGAAATAATAGTTAATACCAAATTGTTAGCTAGCATGCCTCTGTCTTTAATACATTCCTATTGGCAGACTAAGCTGTGTACCATTGTACCCATTTGGAGAAGGTTCATAGCAAACACTTACTTTCTTTTATCACCAAGTCTTTCATTTAGGTTGTTAAGAAACTTTCTGCTATCCTTGAAGTGAAGACAGAAAACAGAATATTACATTTGTTTTTTTAAAAGTGCTCTCCTGCTAAGTTGAGGAAGAGGGAATACCATAGCAATAGCAATAGCACTTAGACTTATATACTGCTTTAAAGTGCTTTACAGCCCTCTCTAAGTGGTTTACAGCATCAGCCTAATGCCCCCCACAATTTCGGTCCTCATTTTTACCCACCTTGGAAAGATGGAAGACTGAGTCAACCTTGTACAGAAAAGTACATGTTTTTTCCAGTGGTATTCAACACAATGTGCAAAATATTTGTGTCATAATTATAATGGACTATTAGTTGGCTTAGGCTCACTAGCACAAATTATCCCAAAAGTGAATTATGAAATAGCCTTTTGCAGGGATGTGAAACTCTGCTGAACCATTATAAACCCAGTTTAAAAGTTCAGGAATACCCAAAGCTGAAATTCAAATCTGGATTGTTATACAGAGGTCCTTTGGTACTCAACTGCTTTGAAACGCATCAAATTTGGTACTGAACACATTTTGCCATGAAACGTTTGTCCCGGTACTCAGTGTTTGTTTTGGTACTCAACACACAAGCTAATAGTTGTCATTGTTGGCTACCTTGTAATTCACTACATTATTTCTTATGGGGAAAAAATGTTTGGAATTCATTGTTTTTAGTACTCATTGTGCCTCCTGGAAACCAATGAACGATCAGTAGCGATGTACCATTAAAAACCACCACTGCTGTCTGATTCCTTTCTCCCCTTCCCCATTATTTTATTTTCTTTCTCCCTTCTCCATATTTCTGATATGAATAACAAAACCCTTACTGTCTCAAAGTCTTCATCCTTGATTTCTCTAAAAATCTTACTGATATATTGATCTTCAAACCAACTGTGAACCATTTCATCTCGGTACTTTTTCAACATCATCCTAAACAGGGCTTCAACAAAAGCAACCTGAATATCATAATCTGCAGGGGAAAAAATAGGAAGATTTTTTTTTTCCAAAATAGCAAGCTTAGCTGCTACCCCTCCACCCCAGCCCGCAAATCATCTTTTCAAAGCAGGAAGAAACTCATTTCTATTCATAGCATCACAAGTTTGAATTGAAAACTTTTTTGCCTACATTACTTTTTTTTTATTCCATCCAGTCAAATCCAAATCCACTTCTCAGAAATTGCCTGGACAAGTCCCTGCCGTTTTTTTGGCCAGTTTTTTCTAGGATTTGTCTCCTTAGCAATAGCAGTTAAGACTTATATACCGCTTCATAGGGCTTTCAGCCCTCTGTAAGCGGTTTACAGAGTCAGCATATCGCCCCCACAGTCTGGGTCCTCATTTCACCCACCTCGGAAGGATGGAAGGCTGAGTCAACCTTCAGCCGGTGAGATTAGAACCGCTGAACTGCAGATAACAGTCAGCTGAAGTGGCCTGCAGTACTGCACCCTAACCACTGCGCCACCTCGGCTCCTTCCTAGGACTGAGAGAAAATGATTGGCCCAAGATCACATATCTGGTTTTGTGTCCAAGATGGAACTAGAACTCACAATCTCCCAGTTTTTTATCCTGGTGCTTTCTCAGCCCAGCTCAAGGTAGTGAACATAATATTTAGCCTCTTGGGTTTCTAGTGCAGCATCTTCACCATTGCTCCATACCAACTCCCATTGCTGTCTTTATTACCTTTTGGGCCAATGTCAATCTACTAAATGTACTAAGCTAGTGCACCAAGGAGAATAAAGTTAAAATTAAAGGTAAAAATTTTAATTTCCAATTCTTAGGCAAGGCATGGTGAAGGACTCTCATGCAATTCTCTCCTTTTCTGTTCACAAACTTAAATTCCAGCTCTTTCTTTTCAATTCAGAATTTCCCCAGCTCTGATCAAGATATCAAACATTTCTTACCACCAACATCCTGAATAGTTTTCACAAATTCCTTCCTGAAACAAAACATAGCCCATTAGTAACATTGATGTCTTGGAAGAGTAAAGCAGTAATTTGAGATTAAAAAAAAAAATTTAGAAGTCAAATGTAAACCTGTCAAAATTTAAGAAAACTAATGTAACCCAATGGACTGCAAAGGATCTATTGCTAAATTGCTCATATTGGGGGCGGGGGGGAGGAACCCCAAGATCAATTGAGTCTATATTAAATATTCAACTGCTTTATCTAATAATATAAGCAGAAAAGCAAGACAAATTAGCCAGTTCCAAACTTAATCATAATTAAAGACCCTGATTTGCATCCTTCTTTTTCAGTTCAGAAAAAAACCCCGATAAACTGGTAAATACAACCAACAGAAAATAAGATTTTTATTTGTACACCCTGCTGTTATTAATTTTACAAATAACTCATGGCAGTGATTAAGAAATACTGTCACTTGAACACTATTGCAGGAAAGGAAGTCAAAGATAAAAGGAATCCTTCAAATATCTTTGAGGGAGATAGGTGCTAAAGGAATGTGAAAAATAAATAAAACATATAATCCTGACATGAAAAGTTGACTTACATAAGCAAGCACATCTCTTCAGAGTCAGCAAAGACCTTCTTCTCCTCACGGGTGATATTAGCCAAAAGTGTATTTAACGTTCTCAGAGCCTTGGTTAAAGAACAAAGACAGGAAATAAAGCTCAGCTATCCCAATCTGATCAAAAGTGCTCTCCTACATAATACTGTCTCCCCAAAAATAAGACCCAACTGGAAAATAAACCCTAGTATGATTTTTCAGGATGCTTGTTTGTTTATGTATGTTTGTTTGTTTATTGGATTTATATGCCGCCTTTCTCCCAAGGACTCAGGGCGGCGTACAACAATTGCCAATTACCTCCACTAGACCGATTAGACCCCAAAGCTAAGCCCTCCCCCGAATCCCACCCGCTGGCCAGTGTCGACTGGCGACTACCCGGAG